GCTGACAGCTCAGAGCCTGGACCCTGCTTCGGATTCTGGGTCTCTCCCTCTCCCTCTACCCCTCCTCCCCTCATGCTCTGTCTCTCTGTCTCAAAAAGAAATAAACATTAACCTAAGAAAATCATCAATTTTCATTTTTTCTTCTACATATGTTTTTGCTTAACGGCAATAAACTTAAAAAAAAATTTAATCCTGGTAAAATACACACAATACAAAATTTACCATTTTAACCATCATATAGTCATATAGTTCGTTGTATAGTTCCGTAGCATTAAGCACATTCACAATGCTGTGCAACCATCACCACCATTCATCTCAAGAACTTCTTCAACTTCTCATTATGATTTTTGTATTTTATGTTTTTAAGAATAACAACAAAAAAATCTAATTATACCTCATCAGTAAGCTCTCTCCCAGAGTTGGATCTAGGTCTCTGAGGGCCCATCACTTCACCTGCTATGGTTTGCCCATCAGGTGCTTTTCCATTTTCCTAAAATTATAATTTCATAAATAGAAAGTAGATGGAGTCAATTTCTATAAATACTCAATTATTCATTACCACACACAGTTCTAAAGAATTCCATAATTCAGATAATGGAGGCTACTGAAAATTTAAATGAAACACTCCATTTCAGTCCTTTATTATTCCCAGCATGCTGAAAAACATTAGGTATCAAAACCATTGCTGCCCATGAAATAATGTCTTAGTAGTCTTGAAAGCAAATAGATGTTCTATTTGAACCTGACCCAAAAGCAGTTCTCTACTAGGAGAATGCCAGCACTAACAATGCCATTAATCAGGGCTATACGTGCGCATATCTCAAAGGCAGGGGCTGGCAAACTTTTTCTGTAAAGAGCCAGATAGTAAATATTTTAGGCTTTTTGCTTCATATGTAGTTTCTGTCATGTATTCTTTTTTTTTTTTTTTTTTTTTAAACAGCTCTTTAAAAATGTAAAGACTGGAGTCAGTTGAACGTCTGACTCTTGGTTTCGGCTCATGATATCGTGGTTTGTGGGTTTGAGCCCCTTGTCGGGCTCCACGCTGTCAGTATGGAGCCTACTTAGAATTCTCTCTCTCCCTCTCTCTCTCTCTCTCTCTCTCTCTGCCCCTCCTCTGCTCACTCTGTCTCTCTCAAAGTAAATAAACTTAAAAAAAAATGTAAAGACCATTTTCAGTTTGGGGATCCTATAAAAACAGGCGATTGCCAGTCTTTGCTCTAAGGCTATGACAAGACTGAAGTGCTGTATCTCCGAGTCTGCTAACCTGCCCCAACCACAGCTACCACATAAGTAAGCCTTGAGTCCCAGAAACCGGCCATGGTAAATATACATGCCATCAGGTCCTTTCTATTGCCTCATATATGGATATATAGCCTAGTACATGAAGTTTTTGTTCATGATTATATAGAGGAAATTGTAATTTGACCACAATTATAAATAACTTTGACCACTATAGGTCAGGTAAATGAAGACTGTAGTTGATGTTTATTAGTATTACAATAATATCACAAAATGCAGCATTCTTTCGTTATTTTAATTGTCTACTGAATGCCAGGTGCTTGGCACACATTAGCTCATTTCATCCTTTAAGACACCTTCAGGGAAGGTTTTCCCTTCATCCTATCCATGGGCCATCTGAAACTCAGATATTAATATAGCTTTGCTCGGATCACCGAGCTATGCAGTAGCAGAGCTGGCAAAGGGACAGAAGAAAGCCAGGTTTAGGGACAAGGAAATAATTTTGCCTGAAGAAAGAAGGCTCAAAAAGCAACAAGCCAGCCAGCTGCAGAAAATTGTTAACGCTTACATCAAATACAACATGAATTCACCAACCTGAGCAGTAACTATTTTATCTCCACTGGTAGCACTCGCCAAATCAAGAGAAGGCTGAGAATCCTTGACTGTATTCTCTGAAGCCATGTTCGTACTTAGGAGAGTATCAGATGTAATATTCTCTTTGGGAACTGCAATGATGATGATGATAATAATAATGATGATGATGACAATGGCAACAACTACTATTTATACAGGACCTTATATATAGCTTGAAAAGTGCTTTAACCTTTGTCTGATTCTTACGACAATCCCACGAGGAAAGTGGTTTTATAATTCTCATCTTATATATGGGGACACCAGGGTTCAAACAAGTTATTTAAATTCTTCAAAGCCATACAACTTACACATGAAGAGATCTAAGTCTTGAATGCAAATCTTAAGTCCCCAATGGAAACGGATTTCAAAGTTTGAAGTCTGCTGAAATGTTCTGTTCGAGTATAGTAATGTAACTTACTACCAATGTAAAACACTGTCACTTTTAATTACTAAAATAACTTTTAGAACTTGGTCATGGTCATCAACATAGTTGTATATAGTATAAACTGAAATAAAATTGGAAAGTTAAATAGTTTCAACTCCAAAATCTCCCCACCAAAAGTTATTTCTCAGTTAATACTTGCCATCTAGATCAGGTGTTTTAAGGGCCTCAAACTCCAATTCGCTTTTCTTTTTTCTTGGTGGCGGAGCAGGTCGAGATGGAGGTGGGGGTCTAGGAGGTGGGAAATTAGTTGGAGGGGGAGGGCGTGCCGGAACAGGCTTCTTTGTACTAGCCACTATATCAGGTTCCGGAGTAAGTTGTCTTGGGGGTTTGGCAGGAGCCACTTCTTCCATGGCAGCAAAATCTTTAGTAGATAAAGAGTTTGAGGACACAGGTTCTAGAACATCACTTCCTTTGACTTCCACGGCTTCCTTGTTCAATACTTCTGCTTCGCTTTCAGGCACGTTATGCTGCTCAGCTGAACTTATTTCAGTTAACTTCGTGATTTCATCTATTGACTTCTCACAGGTGTCATCAGAAGGAAAACATCTATTTGATTCTAATTCAGTTTCTTCTATTGCATTTTGACTCTCTGCCTTTTTGGAATCTTCCTGCAGGACTTGATCTATGGCTAACAGTCCAGGTATGTTGCTAAGATCTGATCCAGCTCCAACAGGACTGGCAGTAGCCTGATCAGAGTGTCCTTTTCCTTTAGAATCCGAAGAGTCATCTTCAAGCTGTAGTACTTTCTGACTCTCCTCAATAATACTTTCAATAATCTGGTGAAAGGTTCAAAAGCAGCTTTTAAAAAATGAAGCTATTTATAAGAACATAATAACAGCTAATCATTTACATAGTACTTAGTATGTGCCAGGGCATGTTCTTAACACTTTACACATTTTAATCTTCACAATAACCATATGAGATAGCACTCTTAATGTCATTATACAAATGAAGGAACAGAGCATAGAGGGATCAAGTGACTTGTCTGGGGTCACAGAGCTAGTAAGTGATGAAGCTGGCAAAACTCCAGGGAGTTTGGTTCTGGAATCTGTACTCTTAAACCATTACAGAAGGGAATCCGTTAGTAGGTATAATCACAACAGTTCAACCAACCCTGTAAAGTTCAAACCTAAACTTACATTCACACTCTTGACGTCCTAGTGCATGTACATATTTATGCCAAGTTAGTTTTAGTAACAACCTGTTGCTTTGAGCCTAGTTAACAAAACCATGAGAATCAAAACCACCTAGTGCAAGAGTTCAAACTGTTTAGTTCTGAACTTAAGCCTGTGGCAGAAAAAGCCAGCAGGTGCAGAGAGATTAACATTCTTAAACAAACTACACCTAATACTCCAATAGTCAGAGAAACAGTAGGACTACAAAAAGGGTTCAAACACTCAGCTCACCTTGCTTTTTTCCCTTTTATTTCTTGCCTGTAGCTGAAAAATACAGACAGGGTTTCTATATCTTCTAACATTTGGAAACAAAGATGTTCTCTATCCAGCCCTGTCATTATTACCACTTAAAAACTCCCAGTCCACTTATCTTTCCACCAGGCCCAACCATGGATGACGTCCGCTTTCTCAATTCCTTGGCTCCAGAAAGTTAACAGAACGTGTCACAGAACCATCCTGATGTGGCGTACCACAAATTCACGCTGACTTCAACTGGATAGGACTGCTGCTCAACAATATTCCTCCCTGATTTCCCAGCACGGTCCACACATTAATTGGTCTCAACCTTCACATTTTTATCCTCATCCTACCACACTTTTGCCAGAGGGATATTAACTAGAGTCCACCTACTTTGTCAATTAGGGGGTTACCGAGCGCTGAGTACCCTAGTGATAACAGAAGCCAGCAGGTTGAAGAAAGAATAAGAGGTGAACAACACAGAGATAGCCAGCACGATGTAGGTTTTCCCAAAGCTTGGCTGTAAGTGGAAGAAGCTGCAAGAAAGTGACCCAGCACTTTTATAAGCTGAGGGGAAGGAGCCAATGGAAAGTAAGATAACAAAGTTCTGGAGAAGAAGGGAAAGAGGGTCTCTTGTGTATTAGACCAGTACACGTATTTCCCATTTAATCATCACATAGGCCTTGACGTAGCTGGATCATCTCCCTTCTACAGAAACGAGAATCTGAGGTAAAGCCATTAAGAATTTTGTCCAACGTCCCACAGCTAGTAAACTACAAAGTCAAAACTGAAATCCAGGTTTTTCTCAAAAATCTAGTGGGTTTTTTTTTTTTTAATGTTTATTTTTGAGAGAGAGAGAGAGAAAAAGAGCAAGCATGGGAGGGGCAGAGAGAGAGGGAGAGACACAGAATGTGAAGCAGGCTCCAACTCATGAGCTGTGAGATCACGACCTGAGCCAAAGTCGGACACTTAACCTACTGAGCCACCCAGGCGCCCCCAGGCTTCTTAGTCTCTAATGTGTACATGAAGCAGCTTATCTGCTGAAAGTGAGAAGGATATAAGTGGGCACAGTGAATGTGAGATGACTGTAAAGGTCTGAAATAATCACTATGCATAATGGAAAGACTGACACCAGAAGAGGGGTTAAAACAAGGTTAAAAATCACAGGTCTTCTCTAATCCCTTATATGAGAACAATTTCTCCCTTGACTGAACTCTACCCTTCTTACCGTTCACTACAGTGTGAACTATAATATAAACACAAGGTGGTATATGGGTTAGCTCTACATAAATACTTTCTCCATGGCAGATAAATAGCTCTTGAAAAATAAAGCCCGTGTTGTCTTCCTCCTGATATGCCCCCATAGCACCTACTAACAGTCCCAAGCTCTGCTTCAGGAGGTAGCAAATAGAGGAAAGACCCAGAGAACAGTGAGGATTAAGACCAACAATGGAGATGATCGTGCTAAGGCAACTGTTGGCTTCCTATCACCTCCCTGCTTCAAAACACTCACTGCTTTTCCAGTGACTGTACAATAGAAACCAGATGTGTTAGTATGACATAAGAGGCATTCCCATAATTTGGCCGGGACTTTGGTCTCTATTCTCATCTGCAAACATGCTGCACGTTTCTCCATGCCTTTGGTTATGCCTTTCAACTCCCATCTTTGCCTGCCCAAATCTTATCCATTCATCGAGAACCAGCTCAGATGTTACTTCCTCCATGAAGTCTTCCTCATTCCTATCCTCAAGCAGGAAGTAAAGTCTCCCTTTCTGTTCTTATAATAGTTTGTAAGTCTACTTGAACACTTTTTACATTCAGTTTTGTGTTTATCTAATTTCCTCTACTAAAATGTAAACTACTGGGGACAGGGATTGTGTCGTGCCTGGTGCAGTGTATATCCCACAGCCTTTATCATTCATATGTGATACCTAAATTGATCGAAAAAACTAGAGCTTAAAAAGTGAGACCTAGTCTTGAGCCTCACTCAACCTCTCCAGTGTTTACTATGTTTTTCAGTTTCTAAACTACTTAAAAATCATTTTTTGGCCACTATTAGTTACCCATTTGCATCCTAAGAAAAAATTCTTAAAAAGGAAAAGAAAAACTCTAGTGGAAAACACAGAAACGTTCCAAGTTTTCAACAATAAAAATGGGCTAGATACATTGTAATATATTTGCTTGACAGAAACTGACACATGAAATAAAAACTGAGTATTGAGACTGTGTGATGAAATATGATGAAAAGTAATAATGGCAAGAGGAAAAGGTAAAATATAAAATTCTATCTACACTACAATTAGGTAAAAAAAAAAAGGCATGCAAATGGGTGAGAACCAGAAAGGAATGCTGAAAAATTAAGATGGCTGTTTGTTACAATGTAGAACTGTGGACAATTTCTGATTTAAACAGAAAAAAAAGGGTATTGCTCATATCTTACTTATGCTGATACACAATACGTTTCTCCCAAAAAAATTCCTTTTAAGGGGGGAAGTATGATCACTATTGAAATATGGAGTCCATTAAATTTATAAATTCCATAAGGGTAGAACAATGGATCTTCATTGGGGGGTGATTTTGCCCCCACACTCTTCCCCAGACATTTGGTGGTCTGTAAGACATTTTTAATTGTTGTGATGGAGTGGGGGTAGGGAGGAATCTATTGATATCTAGTGGGTAGAAGCCAGGAATGCTGCTAAATATCCTACAATGCATAGAATAGTCTCCCTTTCCCTCTGCAACAAAGAATTATTCAGCCTAGGGGCGCCTGGGTGGCTTAGGCAGTTAAGCATCTTGATCTCAGCTCAGGTCTTCTCAAGGTTGTGAGTTCAAGCCCTGTGTTGGGCTCCACGCTGGGCGTGAAGCCTACTAAAAAAAAAAAAAAACAAAAAAATTATTCAGCCCAAAGTGTCACTGTTGAGAAACTCTGGGATAGAGAATGTGTCATTTTGCTGGTCTCCAGAAACCCACTGGCTAGAACGGGGCCAGGGGCACAGAAAATACTCAAAGTAACATAACTGAACAAACACACAGCATCCTTTCTCCTTGGGTTTTATCCTGATACTGTGAACTACCCGTGGTCAAAATTTTTATCTTGTGTTCTGTCCCTTCTAGTAAATCAAACTCTGAAGCTTTTCTTTTCTTTTTTTTTTTTTTTTTACTGTTTATTTATTTATGGGAGGGAGACAGAGCACAAGCAGGGAAGGGTAGAGAGAGAGGGAGACACAGAATTGGAAGCAGGCTCCAGCCTGAGCTGTCAGCACAAAGCCTGATGTGGGGCTTGAACTCACAGACTGTGAGATAATGACCTGAGCTGAAGTAAGATGCTCAACCGACTGAGCCACCCAGGCGCCCCCAAACTCTGAAGCTTTAAAGCATCAATTCTATAAAAGGTATTGAAGGCACTATCAGAGTAATGATTTCTTATAACCTCTAACTCATAAAGACATCAGGATTTGTTGCACTGAGCGTTTCAATACCTTTAACTCTTGGTAGTAAACTCAAGAAGAGCTGTTCTGGGGCGCTTGGGGGGCTCAGTCAGTTAAGCGTCCAACTCTTGATCTCAGCTCAGGTCACGATCTCATGCTTTGTGAGATGGAGCCTTGCGTTGGGCTCTGTGCTGACAGCACAGGTTCTCTCTCTACCTCACCCTCTGCCCCTCCCCCGATCTCTCTCTCTCTCAAAATAAATAAACTTAAAAAAAAAAAAAAAAAGAATAGTTGTTCTGATAATGGCCTCTAAGAACAGCTTATTCTAATACAAATACAAGCATAAAAAAATAAAAACACATTACATTTTTCTAAATACTGTTTCAAGGAAAAATTATTGATTAGTTCGATTATCAAATGACCTGTAAAAAGCCTGATGTGTCTTCAATCAGAAACTCAAGATTCAAAGAACATTTACTGAACATCCAGCAAGTACACAGCACTATACTAAAAGAATATAGAAAACTTTTCCACTTTAAATATATCACATAAATAGAATATCTGTTAAACTAATACTGACATTATATCTTACTAACCTTTTTAGACACATCTTGTTTCAATTCTTGTACAGGAGACTCATTTCCAATTTTGTACGCAGTGTTCTCAGTTTCCTATATTAAAAAGAAAAAGCAGAGACCAAATGATGACTTCCTTTCTTTAAAATTCTGTTTAAGGGGCGCCTGAGTGGCTCAGTCGGTTAAGCGGCCAACTTCAGGTCAGGTCATAATCTCACAGTGCGTGGGTTCAAGCCCCACATCGGGCTCTCTGTTCTTTAGCGTGGAGCCCACTTCGGATCGTCTGTCTCCCTCTCTCTCTCTCTCCCTCAAAAATAAATTTAAAAACATTAAAATTCTTTTTAAGATGGGTACAAATTAGAAAATACAGCATTGATAAAGCAAAGGCCCATAGAGCTTAGATGTTTGTATACTGAAGACGGCCCAGAGATTTTATGTCAACTGGGACAATCTGATTTGTGTAAGGTTACCAATCAGCAATTTTCTATTTTTGTACAGCAATCAGATATTTTCCTTTAAAAGTGCCCCTCTTTTTAACATTAAAAACCATACCGGAAGATAAGAACTACCAAGCACCTCTGTAGCTTAAAAAGATTCAGGATTTAAACAAAGGGTTGAGTCAGAATTGTTCTTTTTCCCAGAGTATTGCTCCATAAATATGCATAAATATAAAAGTACATAATGCAGAAAACCACAGAGAATAGTTTTCTTAAAAGCTCTACATGTTTTAGATGAAAGCAATCAAGACAAGAAGTTAAATCAAGTCCCCCCAAACAGCAAGAGATGAAAAAAATTAAACCCACCAAAAATACATATATATCTACGTATACATTCATATACACATACGTACATATATATATATATTTGGGAGGTCAGAGACGGTAGAAATGGATACAGTTTTTCTGCTGGAAAAAAATTCTGGTAAAACAAGACAATCGTACATTTGCAAATGCAGCATAGTATTTATCTCCATCCTAAATTGTCACTACATTTACTAAAGTATAGCAATTTGAGTGCTACTAACAACACTAAGAAAAAAAACTTTTCGTAATTTTTATACACAACATAGAGTTAAAAAAGGTCACTATAACCATTTTTGACAGATAAGCAACCTAAGGCACATAAGGATGTATGTAAGTATCAAGGTAGCACTTATACAAGTATTAGGATATGATCATGATCGGTGCCGTGATAAAATTACTCCAGATCAATATAATGCTGAAGATTTAATGTGCTAGAGAAATTTATGTAGAACTTCTGATATCTTCAAGCTTAAAAGCTGTTTCATGGAATTTTAAGTGTCAGGTAAAACCCAAACTACCACAACCCATGAGGGCCTACATCTTTGACATCTATATTTCTCACCTCCCTTGTCCACCACAACCCCACAATTACATTTTGGCCAACTGGATGGTTCTTTACCATCCTTAGAGCGATAGCTCAAGTGTTTTTAGAAAAGGGTGCCTGGGTGGCTCAGTTGGTTAAGCATCTGTCTGACTCTTGATCTCATCTCAGGTCTTGATCTCAGGGTCATGAGTTCAAGCCTTACAGAGGACTCTCTGCGCTGGGTCTGAAGCCTACATTAAAACAAACAAACAAACAAACAAAAAATGCTTTCCCTAACCACCTTAAAATAGCCTTACCTGCTTAACTTTCTATCACATTATCATATTTTCTGTTTCTTCATTGCAGTTATCACCATCTGAAACAACCTTGTTTACTTGTTTATTTATTTATTTTTTTTGTCTCTTCCCTGCCCCACTAAAACGTAAGCTCTATGAGAACAGAGACTTTTTCTGTCTACCACTGCACAGCCAGTACCTAAAAGAGTGCTGGGCAAAAGTAACCATTTGCTAAATGAATGTCGAATAACACATGCCTCTGGCTTTTCTTCAGTAAATATACATATCTTAAGTTTACATATCCTTTAATCAAATCCTGGTTTTAAACTGAAAAAGAACAACTCTAATCAAAACCAATTAGTAAGATAATCTTGACAAGACCAGGGAGAGAGAATACTTGAAAGCTGATGGTCATTAAGAACAGTTAATGAATATTAGAGAAACACCTTCAGCTGTCGTATGAATTAAGTATATTTATCCAATTATCCTCCAATAATTGTTCATTAATAGGAAAATCAGAAGCACTGCACAACATAATCCAATGAGTATGTTTCCTAAGTTAACCAAAGCAAAAATACACACTCATAATTCCTGTACCTCGATTTAATTTGTTTTAATTAAGTATTTAGAAGGGTCACAGATTAACATTCTCACACTGATCAAAACTGCCAAGCAGTGAGGCACCTGGGTGGCTCAGTTGGTTACGTGTCTGACTTTGGCTCAGGTCATGACCTCAGGTCATGAGTTCGAGTCCTGCATTGGGCTCTCTCCTGTCAATACAGAGCCTGCTTTGGATCCTCTGTCCCCCTCTCTCTCTCTGCTCCACCCCACTCTCAAAAAAAAACTGCCAAGCTAAGCAGCGATTGCACTTCTAGCTTACTTGGCTTTAACAAAACTCTCCTGGACTTTGAACCTTTGAAAGGTATCAACCTCTATAAGGTAAACTGTGATTAAGTCACAAGTTTAATGGAGTGATATGGCACCTACCAGAGGATCTAATCTCCAGAGAAGTTAATCAGAAGATTTCTCAGTAAAACCTAATTTGGGGTTTATATAGTCATCTATGACTCTCAGTGGTGTGTAAGGTCCAGGTCCTTCCCCTAGCATCTTGATCAGGCTTGGGAGATGAAACAGTGGAAGCCAAAAATGTGCCTGCAGACAACCAACACCAGCTTAGACTTCACACACTCCTCACTTATCACCTCCTTCTGGAGATGGGCCTGCCCCATTACAAAAGCACAGGGCCTACTAAATCCCAGCTTCCCACCATTAGGCCGTTTCTTGAACCCCTGCCGATCACAACCTCAGAAACACACGTCCTTAAAAGGTATGGTAGATCATTCAATTTCTAGTCATTCACACCACGGTTTCCCTCCACGTCTGTTGGATATTAGAGAGCTGCGTGGACCCTCCTCACAGTATTCAGTTCTATGACTAGAGCTTTTAATTTTAATAAGCACATCCAACAAAAGACTAATCATTTTCACAAATCATTTGTACAAAAGTAATCTACGCTCAAGGAAATCTTCATTATTATTTACTAAAGAAGAGTAAGCTAAAAATGTTAGTTATTGAGGCATCTGGCTGGCTTAGTTGGTGGAGCATGCAGCTCTTGATCTCAGGGCTGTGAGTTTAAGCCCCGTGTTGGGTGTAGAGAATGTTTAAACAAACTTACAAAAACTCTTTAAAAAATAAAATAAAATAAAAATGCTAGTTATTAAAAAATTCAGGTCACTTCTAGTTTTTAGTAGTGAGGAATGGGAAGGTATTAACAGTGACTAAAGTGAAATTTTATTTATTTTTAAAAATTTATTTATTGCCTTTTTTCTTTTTTTTTTTTTCAGT